CTTTATCAGTTTATATCCTCTCCCAACCCAGGTTCTCGTTTGTAAGCTAATTTAACGATTAGTGAACAAACTTGTAATAATATTATTATTTATCCTTTTATCAAAAAAAAATATAATTTTAATTAATAAAAAAATTATAATAATTAATTTTTATTCAAAGTTTTGATTGAATATAAGTAATTTTTATTGCTGATTGATTAATGGCACACCAGATCTTCTAAATTAATTAATAAAAATAAATAAATTTTTGATTAATTTGACAAAACAAATTCAATATAAGAAAATTAAAAAGATGAATATTGTAAAAAATACGGAAAATAAATAGATAAACCTAATTTGAAGTACTAATAAAAAATGTTAGAAAGATAATTTCATATATAATTTCTTCAATCCTAATCTTAACTCTTAATTCTAATGCTAAAACTAACTATTAATATCCTTAAGTTAATATATGTCATGCTAATTAGAATTTTCATAAAAAATAATCATGTAATTTTATATGATAAAATACAATTAATCAAAAACAATACACGTGATATTTCAAGTGCTAAAAATCTCACTTTTATTATTAAAATTGATGTTAAAAAACCTAACCACAAATAATTTTTATAATAAAATGAACAAAAAAATACATAATGTTATAGATTATATCAAAAATTATTTAATAATATATTTGTTTTAATGATTATATATTTAAGATAAAATTTCTTTACAGTTCAAAGTATTTGATGCAACTAAGTGAAGCACCTAAATTTAAATCCTTATAACTTTTTATATAAGACTTTTTTAAAAATCTGACCACTAATTTCATAAAGCTTAAAGTGTTGAAAGATTTTAAAAATGATATTATATTATCCACATTTTAATGTCACGTGAAAGCGGAGTAACGAAATACAGATTTCACTATACGTACATCTAATGCCTTGGCAAAATTAAATGCGGGAAGTCAAATTGAATTTTAGAACCATGGACCAACTTTACGACCTAATTCGATTGTCAAATCATTTGGATATTTCATTTCTTATCGCTCTTCATTCACAAGGCAGAAGTGTCATCACTGTTAAAGATGCTTATTCGCGAACTACACAAGTTATTGGGAGGATCTCACTGGGCATTGTTTGCAAACTACCAAAAAATATTTTGCCTTTGAACGTCAACCATTCTTTGAACACTAATAGTCTCGACCATTTCGGCTGCCTTTGTAATACGATGTAAATCAATCTTCAAATAGTCACGAATAGATGTTAACAATCAAACAATCCGATGACTTGCAAAATTTAGTTTATTGGTAAATAAATATATCGATATATAGTGTAGTAATACTTTCTACATAACCAAGTATCGAATTTGAGAATGTTACTTCAACAAACTTGTCCGGGAAAAATTAATTGTGCTATCCAAAGCCTGAATATTGGTTTGTGGAATGACGTTCGTTACATTGTAAGTCGTTTAGACCTGTTCTTTGTTTAGCAACCTTCCAACTAATATGCTCTTACTTGTGTTTTCTGAATCAATAAACTAAAATCATTGTAAATTTCTTTTGCCTAGTTATATGGAACTTGGGATAAACTTGTAATACATAATGGATGTTTTGAGCATGTGCAGACTATAGGTTTATGTGAGTTTTTTGGGAAATTACATAGTCCAGGAGAAAATCAAATTGTATCTGTTGAGCTTTCGGAACACGACGGAAAGGTGTGTGCACATAATAGATGGTTGATATTACTATTACTTAGCGAGAATGTGATAGGATCTATGGAGTATTCGAGGACAATAGCTGTTTGGAAAGAATTTTAATTTTAATTTTATTGTCCGAATCTTTTTTTTAGATTGCTGTCACGTATGAATGTAGCGTGATTATACTTGAGCCTTATGCTATCAATAAAGATGCGGTAAATTTCCATTATAGTAGTATTGTTTTGTATAAAGCTATATTGTTGGTAATTTTACACGTGCCCGTTATCCTTGATTATGGATTGATTAGCAAACGCTATGGAAACTACTCACCATCTTGAAATATAATGTTCCTGTACTTTGTACAGCATGGAGTGCGAATAACGGTTAGTAAAAAATAACCAACTAAATTAAAGATCTCAATTCCTCTTCCTTCAATCAATTTATCTCATTTTCTTTATCTTTTGCTAAGAATATCTATGGGTGGGTGGCGGAAATCTATCATTATGGAAATACAGAACAAACCCCGATAACACAGATATTGTGGATTGGTCAAAAATATGGGAACAAATGTGCGTGTGTGCATGTGTGTATGACCAATACCATGATGCAATTAAATAAAAACAAGGTGTCCAATGCCGCTTATTTCATTCGCGAAAATTTCTCCCAGTGTCGCGTCAAATATAACCTTAGCAAAGTTGTCACCAGACTGCAGGTTACTTGCCGTTGTGGGCCAAGTAAGAATGGAGTATTTGTGATTTTATTTGTCTGATATAACTATTTTATTTATCTTTTCTTTTTTGTCGTCATTTTAGTATGATCGGAACGTAAAGATTTGGTGGCGAATTGATGATATTGATGTTGGTGTCCCGGAGTATGACTTTAATTATTTAGCGCATCCACAAACAGTCACGAATTTTGCATGGCGAAAATCATCTTCAGATCAAGCGTACGTTATGTTAGGAGATTATTTAGTCATTTTATGTTCGCTCTCATTACGAAATATCCACATTATAATGCGTTATTTCCATTAGAAATAGTATTCTTTTGACGATGTGTCGTGATGGTATATGTCGTATATGGGCGGCGACAAATCCTGAAGAACCTCAATTTCTATATATTTGCACAGTTATCGACCCCAGTCAATTCTTGGTTGCCACTACCGACGAAAATGACGATGCGCTCATTAACGACTCTTCGAAATTCACACCAATACATTATATTCAATCTGATGAATTTGTAAGCGCTGTGAATTTAGCATATGACGCGCTCGATCTAGATGTCGAAGCAGGAGATAATTACGCGAGACGACAATTAAAACGATTAAAAGAGCTTATCGTGGATAAATCAGATTTGTTGTATCAAGTACAGCGGGATGGATCAATGATTGTCTGGGCAATACAGGTAAAACTTATATATTTATATTAAAGAATTCCATTTGAACCTCAAGCATCTGGCTTCACAATTATATATTAGCATTTGAGTAGTCGACCCCGTCGTGTTCCTCGAGTTCTTGTATTGATGCGTATGGAGCAAGCTCTTTTGCCATTAGATGCACCTTATTTTGATGGGACCACTACTACATTTTATGATCATCTTGGCTCTAAAACTCGATGTAGGTTAGAAAGGTGTACACAATTCAATTTTACTGATAATTACACGTATTTAATTGATTTTAATATCATCATCAGCTTCAATTATTCCGGCCGAACTTTCCATTGTGGCTCAGGGTCCTCATGGCCGAATTAATTGTTACTCTATCAGCTTGACCGACTTCTTTGATAATACTCGATTGACTACGCGATTGTATTTGAAGAATTCTTGGACTGGGCATCATTGTAACATTGAATCAATTGTCAAAGCCCCGGGAATAAATAATATAGTGTCAGTATCCAATAATGGCGAAGTGGTTGTATGGGCGATTGACATTCCACAGGTATAAATATTTCATTTTCTTGTGATTTGACAAATTAGGATATTAATTTCAGAGTTATTGTTCGCGTAGTTTGGTTTACGTGTAAATCGTGGAATTGTTGAAAAATCATCTGTTTGTTTGGGTTCGGTTATTAAGCTAGTTTGTTTGCTTCCCGGAGGTAAGTAAAAAATTTATGTTATTTCATCTTTCCTTATCAGAAATAACTCTTATATGTATCAATATTATTAGGTGATTTTTTAGCAGCTTATGATCAACGAGAAATAGTTCTCTTTTCTACAAATAATCCAGATGGACGTTCTCATGAGATTTCTCATTTTGAGAATTACGATCCAGCATACGAGCTTTGCTTATTATTTTCGTTTCCCCAACATTCGAATACTTTTCCAAAAAGCAATGTATCATATGTTGCCGGTGTAAGCATGAAGCAAAATTCAGTTTTTTGTTGGAAAGTCATACATAATGATCAAGGTGGGATTTCATCATCTATCAACAATACAGTCAACTCTCCCTAAATGTAATTCTCCGGGATCGTATGACTAATTAGACATGTTAGAGAGAGAGAGAGTATATTTAAAGCTTGGGACTGAGCAAGAGCGTACATTAGAAAGAGTGTACATAGTGCGTGCATTTATGGAGTTGCATTTAGCTGTATTATCATTTCGAAATTTTTAATCTAGTCGAACGCTAAATACTTGTGAAACTTATTACTAAATTAAATCACATTTCTCAAAAGCTCTCAAAACTCATTTTATATCTCGTGTATCTCTTCCGACCACCTGTGATATATCCATGGCCGTTTCGGTTGGTCAATGGGCTGGAGCCTATTCAAGCTGCCATACGCGTTCACGAGACTCGAATCCACCAGTGCTTTTGACTTTTTCCGATGACGGGTGTTTAACGTATTGGCGTTTTAATTTTGCGGCGGATCACGTGGCTAGTAATAATAATGATAATGATACAGAGTCTTCGAAAGATATTTGGTCGGTTAGTCTTCAAGTTACCATTGACCAGAAACGGCTTGCACTCATTAAATGTGGGCCTAATGATCGAGTAGCACTCGGTATGTAAAACACTTTATTACTATTGTCATTAGTTTAGATTTAATATTGATGGTAACTCTTTCTATATTTACGTAGTAAATGAATCTAGGAATGAAATGTCTATTTGGGAATCGATTACCCCACGTATAGCTGCTATCAAAGAATATGTAATAGAATCCAGGTACCGTATTTATTCATCTCAAATGAATAAAATTTGCTTCATAATATTTAAAATTGTTCTCTTAATTAGTGATCCGATAGTTGATGTCGATTGGCTATTCACTACTAATGCTGAACTAGTTGTAGCTGTTGCCACAGCTCAAAAAATCGCGATTTATACACAGCTACGAAAATACGATGTATCAGTTCGATCATTAGGAATTTTGATTTCTCAAATTGATATACCACCGTACGCGTTTTATTTTGAATTTATGTGTCTGTTCTTTTGGATATTCATACTTTTTGATGGTGATGATGACCTTATAATAGAATGCTGCCGGATTCTATCACGGCTATATCGTGGAGTTCAAGTGGTTCATTGGTTGTATCAACTGGGAATCAATTGCGCTGCTATAATAAATGGCTGAGTGAAGCTAGTTTTCAACAAGGTAATATAATAAATTTCGAATTGGTTCACGTATGAGTTCTTATAATTAATTATTTTTGGTATCAGTTTCGCGTATAACTGGAGTCAACGATAGATTCCCGACTTTATTTCATATCGTTGATCATTTTAATGGCCCACTACCACATCATCATCCGACTCTTCTTCTTCAATATTTGCTATGGGGTGAGTTATATTCTATGCTATTGCATGAATTATATACCGCTTATTAATGATACAATCTCTAATTATATTTTTAAAAGGGAAAATGGATCTTGTTAAACAAATTCTAGCATATCTTTATAATTACCTTAAAATCATTAAAGACGCGGATCAGCAAGTCACGCAAATTCTTCCTGTTCCTTTTGACAAATTGTTTGATTACGAGCCCGAGGTTCTTAATAAATTGATAACTATATATAATACCAGTCGCTATCTAATATTATTGATAAAATATTTTTAGCCAATCTCATCGACTTCTCAAAAAGCTCGTTATAGTCTCCTCTTTGACTCTGATAGTGAAGAAGGGTAATAATTTCCGCATACTAACAATTAAAGCAAAATTCCATGCAAAAATCTCAAAGAATTAATCAAATAATAATGGTATATTTTTTTTCTTAAAATTAAGAAGTTCATTGGATGATAGTCTCGAATTCACAGATAAAGCTGCAGAATTTCTTAGTGAACAGCTTACACGCATCTCTTTGCCGGATCTTTCGAATATTGAGCAAGCTCAATTACTTGCTTTGGTCCATACAATTGTTCAGGTAAGAAACCGAACTACAATATAATATTAATTCTTTATGAATGATCACGCACGTTAAATGCTCTATTCAACATTAAAGGTAGAAAGTCAGAAAAGAAGTTTAGATGAAAATGGTGTCAGATATGTGATTTTTATGCGTCGATATCATTATTTGCAACGTGCGACAATGCCAGGTGCGTTACGTGCGTCTGGGTTAAGCTATCGTGATATGATTTGGGCTTTGCACAGTGAATCTCAGGTACATCTATATATGTTTGAACATAAAAATCGCATTGGATTAACGTAGTGTCTGAAAATCTGGTGTAATTTTCCCCCCAGAATTTGCTGGTCGAGTATAGCATAAGTGCTTCTGGCGGTAGTTTCTTATGGAAAGATGCCAAAGTTCACGGAATAATTTTGTGGCTTAGTAACATTGACACAGTGGTATGAAGATTTTTTATTGATTACATATAATAATTATTTAATTAAAAAAATTTCTTATTGTAATTTCAGCGTCAACAAATGGAAATCATCGCAAGGAACCAATACATGGCCAAAGAAGACCGAGATCCAACAGACGCTGCACTATTCTATATGGCACTAAGAAAAAAGAAATTATTATTAGCGCTATGGAGGACCGCTAATCACCTTAAAGAGCAGGCCAAGATCATGCAATTCCTCGCAAATGATTTCGAAGAACCACGATGGAAAACGGCCGCACTGAAGAATGCATATGTTTTATTAGGGAAACAACGTTATGGTTTCTATCTTCATAATCATCGATTAGCATTTCAGAGGAATTTTTTTCCTGAATTAATTTTTATTGAAGATTATTCTTTTTTCATTATTTTGATAAGAATATGCCGCCTCGTTCTTTTTGCTTGGAGACTGTTTAAAAGATGCAGTGAATGTTTGCTTGAAACACCTGGATGATTTCCAATTAGCGGTTGCTATATGTAGAGTATATGAAGGTAACTAACAAAGCATATTATCTTATTTAGCACCTTAGTATTGAAATGTATATATATATACTTAATAGGTGATGATGGACCCGTTTTGAAAAGTGTCATTCAAGAACACATCATTCCATTGGCCATCCGGACGGAAGATCGTTGGTTAGCACATATGGCTTTTTGGATGATGAATCAGAGAGATCTAGCATTACAAGCCACAATGGTATCAATAGTTTTCTTATATGAGCATAGATTATCTTCATCAGTCCCCCTAATGTATTATTTATTCTTTTTTAAAAAAAGATGCCTCTTGAACAACTCTATGAAAAAGAGCTCAAACAAGAATCAACTATCACTTACAGTCCGGAAACTCAAGATGCAGCACTAATAGTCTTATACAAGCAATTAAAAGAAAAGTCAATACAAACCCTAAGAGGCGCTGCTCAAATATCCGCAGAAACAGAATATTCTTTAGTTCTTCGTACAATCTTTGCGTACGAACGTATGGGATGTCCCTTATTAGCTCTACACGTCCTAAAGACGTGGATATTCACGTTTGAACCTGCATCAAGAACATCTACCACAATATTTCATCATCGTAAAAGGACTACCGTAATTGATGTCCCGTTACCAAGTGACGATGATCCTATTTCTAAAGGTGTTGTGAGTTTCGATGAATGGGGATGGGATATGCCTGCAGCAGCATCAACAGCAACCACTTCAATCAATAAAGATCGAGACGAGAATATTTTCGAATTTTTTCCTACTATTGACCAGTCAAAAACAGCAGATATATTTGCAAGTCAATCAAATGGTTGGTCATGGAAAAGAACTAGATCCAATCCTATGGACATTTTTACAGATGAGAGTTCATTAAACATCTTAACAGAAAATACGAGATTATCGACTATGACACTATTAGATGATAAAGATCTTAGTATCTACAAATTCACTTTGGTGAAACGATTGTCACAGGCATGTATAATCTATCATTATAACAATAGATCATGCAACTAATTATGAATTATTATATATTGATTTTGAATTTAAACAGCAAGTTTTGGATGGTGTTAGCATTGTTTCCCAATACTCGTCACTGTTCAGCAAAAGCTTACTATATCGTGATTATCTTGATCGACTGTATCAAGGACTAAAGACTATTTGTAAGGCCGTAAACATGCCCATAGAGGACATTGAACAGACTCTTGTTTCATATCCTTTTTAAATTGTGGATATACAGACTCATTTAACAGTTTTTTCCCTATTTTTCTTTAATCCATTATTTGAATTTCTCTTACAAGATGCATCGAAATAGATTCATACGCGCTTTCATTCCGTTTGCTCAATGCTGAAGTCATATCGGAAAAGAATACAGAGCAAATTGTAGAAACATTAATTAATGATTCGTATGCACTGGCATCTCTTACTTTTAGCAGATTACAAATTGCGATTCAAGGGCATCTATGTAAATGGGCAAGGTAAGCAATTATATTACATTATATTTTGATGAGTGTATTTTATGTGCAATCGTTGATTAAACATGTCAATAATCATATCAGGGAAACATTATTATCATTCAACGAATGGCTTCCATACGCTCGAATCAAAACAGAACATGCAACATTACCACCCGATATACGAATTCAAAAAATAACATTATCAGCATTTGTCACCCTCTGCCTCTTATCTGTTCGCCAGCAACAATACGATCAAGCATGGGCATGTTTACTCAACTGTGCGAAATTTTTCCACGCATCGCTTCGCGCTTCTATCGACCTGTCGGAAGTGGTCGGTGATGTTCTTCACGAAGTCAAGCAACCCGATACCTCGTATGATGTTATCAGCGAAAATGATGTGCTATTTGATAATAGTGAGCAAGGGCATGGCTGGGGATTTGACGATATTGTCTATGGTGAAGTGAATAAACTCAATGATCCGGAACTTGTGGCCAGAATTTTGGAAATTGCCACCATTAATCATCTTATTTATGCATTGGAGATATTTCTACATAATTGTCAACCACCTACATCTGATGATCTTGAGCCATTTGTTACTACTGCGTATCTTGAGCCAATGCTTGATATGTCGACCCGCATGGAACGCGAAATATTACAATCTTTGCCTCAGTTGACACAAGGTATGTTTTTATATTTAAATAATAATCATAATCTTGTCCTTATAATAATTAATATGCTTTAATCTATTTCATTGATATAATTTTTTAATTATCAGATAATGTCACGATACTTTTCAAAGAACCGAAACATAAACAGTTTTGGGGATCTTTGATCTGCATAAATGAACCGAGCATTTTGTTGCCAAGTTTTTCTACATCTTCATCAACAGCTGCTGCCTCAATCTCTACATCGTTGACTTAGCCGATTATTTGATTGATTGATTGATTTATTATTTGGGACTATTTAGTTAAATTACTACTAACAAATAAATAGAATTGTTTATTATTATGTATTATTATAGTAATGTCTTTTTATTATTTAATGTGATTATCAGTAATGTTACAGGCAATCGCTGATCTACAATTTATTATTGAAATTTAGATATTGCTCTAATAATTAAATAATTGTTATGTTCAAGGGAATTATCATCAAAAATCATGGTTACTACTTTGTCGAGGAGACTAAAGTTTGGCTCTTTATATATTTGGCCTCAACAACCAAAACCACCACCTCCACTATCTTTAGTATCTAAAATACCAAAAACTTTCATATATATAAAATGTGCAAGTTATTATGTCACCGATAGCAATAATAGCAATAATAATAATTATTCAATTAAAAAGTGGCATACTAAAACAAATCCGAATCCATTTGATATATTTGATTTGCCGCATACAGCATGTGCAGCAGACATTAAAAAACGTTATTATGATCTAGTAAAAGAATATCACCCGGATCAAAGTAGAGATACTTCTGCAGTAGTATTAGAACGATTTCGTAAAGTGGTAGCAGCATATGAAATTCTAGGTAACCCACGTAAAAAAGATCTTTATCTTCGATATGGATTTGGGTGGGAAGAACAACAAAACAATTCATCATCCGCCAATTTTTACAATAATAATAATCATTCAAAATTTCATAATAAAAATTGGCACGATAAAGACAGATACCATGGAGCATTCAACAACAATGAACCAATATTCATGGCCAATTCGTATCTGGCCGCATTTATAATAACCACCGCGTTGTTTGGTGGAATGATTCAGTTACTTCGATTAGAGAGTTCTAGTATGTCGTTGAGAGCTGCCGCTGATAGACATCATCTGCAAGCTAGTAAGGATCTGAAATCTGCCAGACGGGAGGGTCAGGTGTATGGAAAGAGAAGAAAAGCGGAAATTATGTTGATGGCGCATTATCTTAATGGTTGGCAGGCTGATGGGAATGTATGCAAAAGTGCTAATATATCAGCGGCAGATGGTCTTGATTAATTTAACAAAAATTGATTGAAGTCCTCTGTATGATAATGTGCACAGGTAGGTATCATAATAGTATTCTACGCGTGAATCTCTAGAGGATTCACTTTACTTAAATATTTCTTAATTGTATGCTAAAATCATTTGTAAAATACTAGGAAAGTGGAATCCTCTAGAAGTTCACACGTAAGATACTACCGTATTTTTCGGTAATTAGTACCCCGGGTCTCTTACATTCTAGGGGCTCAAAAATTGATTAGTACCCACCGGGTACTTTGTGAAAAGGCGGGTACATTATACGGGGGAATACTTAACATGGAAGTCGTAATTTTGGCCCGGATTACACTAGTTTTGGCCTGAATAATGCTAATTTCAGGAATTATGAAGGGGGCTACTTTACATTCTACTCAACTTGTAACCGAGATTAGTACCAGGGTACCTTATCAAGGAGATATTTTATCAAAGGGGTACTAATTGCCGAAAAATCCGGTATTTTCCACTTGTGGTAAATGTATTTTCATTTCGCGAATTTCGTTGATTTTATGTTAAATCTTAAATATAGCCCTATTGTAAATGCTTCTTTCTAGAATTCCAGCAATGTCTAAATAATTGAGAAATAGTGGAATCACAATTTTTATTGATATATAACTCGAATTTTTCAAGTTTCGTAACATCAAGCTTTCCACTGAAGAAAATTCTGAGTTTCGGGCCTTTCAATTGTCTTGCCAAAACTGGCATAGATAGAGGAAGCTTTGTTTCATGCGCGACTTAAAATATTTTGTTGATTGCTGATTGATTTAACTTTCCTTTTCACATACTATTCTATACAGTCTGCCCTCGTTATTATCAACCTCACGGGACTAGACTATTTTGTTGATATAAGAGGGTTGATATCAACGGGATTGTTATTTATGTGTTTTTCTAATTGAAGTGAAATATGTTCCATAACCAACGTTGCTAACAACAAGGTATTGATATTAATGGAGTCGATAATAACGAGGGCAAACTGTATCTTCAACATTTATATTAGCGTGTTCTGATATGTATTTGAAACAAGCAAGAATCGACCAACCCGAATTTTAAAGAAGGGACCCATTAAAGCCAGGTAGTATCATGTGATATAGAATTCGATCCGGATTATATCATGTGATTGAACTTATGTGAATTCATGATTGGCTGATTGCCAATAATAACAAACTAATGCTAATTAAAATGAAAAATAATTGTAGGGAATCAAGATTGGATTTTTAATTATATAAGTTTCAGCTTTATCCAATTTTAGTTTTAGTTATTACAATAAATAATAATTAAAAACATGTAATAAATCAATAATAAATTTGTTCATTAATAAAATTATATATATTTATTATTATATTATAAGCTTATAATAAAATTATATATTATATAATATTTTTTAATTAAATACTTTCAATATAAATCACAAATCTTATTCTAGCTGATTATGTTATAAATACACTATTATCATTATTCTAAACTTGTTATAATTATAATTTAATACTTTAGACATTATATATTATTTATATAATCAAATCTCTTTATAATCATATCTGTTTATAGTTACATCTCTTTATAATCATTCTATTTTGTTTTCTATTATATATAAATATAGTAAAAAAAATTCTTTTATAGTCACATCTCTTTTATAATCATCAAATTTTGTTTTTTTAAGGATAATAATTATAAAGAAATTTAATTATATTTTTTCATTTATTATTATTAATACATATTAATATAATTATAGTATTATAGACTTTTTTATATAGCTTCATGAATTTCTAGAATAATAATAGCTTTTTTAGTATTTCTCTATAGATAAAATAAGATTTTTCATTATTTATAATTAACAAAAAAAGTTATTTGATAATTACAAAATATGATAATATTATCAAAAGTCACATAAAATTATATATCACATGTTATATTTAACCAATTAAATTTGAGATTTATCAAAAAGTTTAAATTTGATATAATATAAATGGTTTAATTATATCAAATACTATATTATTGCTGAATTTTTTGAAGAATTATCATTTTTAAATAAGTTATTATATATAATACTAAAAATAATTATTATTTTTAAATAAATTATAATTTTATATGAAAAATAATTATATGATTTTATATAATATAAATTATAATTTTATATGAAAAATAATTATATGATTTTATATAATAAAATTTAGCTAATCAAAAATAATATATATAATATTTTAAATGCTAAAAATTTTATTATTATTATTAAATTGATATTAAAAAAATTTAATTATAAAAAATTTATTTTTATAATAAAATAAACAAAAAAATATTATATTATAAAATATATCAAAAATTATTTAATAATATATTTTTTTTTAATAATTAATTATTTAAATAAAAATTCTTTATACTTTAAAGTTATTTGATAATTTTAAATTATTTAAATTATATTTAAAGTATTATAAATATTATAATACAAATTTTTAGTCAAAATTATAAATTATATAATATCAATTAATAAAATTATATGTAAATAAAATTATATAATCAATAAACAAAAATTAAAAATACTTTTTATTAAATAATAACTTTTCTAAAAAAAATAAGAATTGTAAAGTCTTTTAAATAATTAAATAAAATAATAGATAAAATATATAAGTTTTTTTTACATATAATTACTTCTAGCAAAACTTTAATTTTTAAATTTTTTTTATTATTTTCTTTATTTTTTTAATTTTTTTATTTGAAAGCTCTTATTATTATTTTTCATATATAATATGAAAAATTTAAATTCAACAATTAAATAATATATCTTTAAAAATTTTTAACTTTCTAGAAAAGTAATATTCTTAAAAACTAATTAGTAATATTATTCTTTATAATATATTATATTAAGTTATTAATCAGATTTTTAAAATAAGTTATATATCAAAAGTTATAAGTATTTAAATTTAGATATGTTTTATATATTTAATTTAAAATTAAAATATATTATATAATTATTTTATCTTATAACATGATTTTATTGATTAATATTTATTATAATACTATATTATTACCATTTTATCTTTTATCACTTTTTCAATACATATTTATTTTCAAAAGTACAGTAATATTTTTTTATTACTTTTATTTTCTTTCTATATTTTATAATTTTCTTCTATTATTATCCAATAGTAATAATTAATATTTTTATCTAATTATTTTTTATTTTTATTACATTTTTTTATTTAAATTCTATCATCAATTATTTAACCAATTAATTCATAGTAATTTTACATTAATTTATATTTTAAATTTTATGGGTAATTATAGGCATCTCTGGCTGGAGATATATAACTTATATATCTCTGGTCCGATTAGCCAATCAAAAAATGAAA